ACAAGCCTTGGTGCTGAGGTAACCTGCTTGGAGACGGCATTTTTTCTTTTTAAACTTTTTTATATTGTGGGGAGCTGTAACAGAATTTGCCGTTCTAACCATGTGTGCTGCGCTTAGCTGCTCAGCCGTGTCCGACGCTCTGAGACCTCATGGAGTGTATGCAGCCCGTCTACGGGGATTCTCCAGGCAAGAATACTGCAGTGGTAGTCTATCCCTTCTCCAGGGGATCTTCCCGACCCAGGAATGGAACCAGGGTCTCCTGCATCGCAGGTGGATTCTTTACCCGCTGAGCCACCAGGGAAGCCCCGCTTTAACCATGTGTAATGCGTGTGATTTGGTGGCGTGAATTCACAGTGTGGTGTAGCCCTCACTACTATTTCCAAACCTTTTTCTTGACTCCAAACAGAGATGCTACACCCCTTCCCTGTCACTTCCCATCCCCTGGCCCTGGCAGCCTCTGCTTTCTGGCTCTGTGAACTTGCCTATTCTAGATATGTCACTGAAGTGAAATCATACAGTTTGTGGCCTCTTGTGACTGGTTTCTTTCACTCTGCATAATGTCTTCAAGGTTCATCCATGTTGCAAGTCGCCTGGGTCAGTCCTTCATTCCTGTTTTTGGAGGAGGTGGTGCTGGTAGTTTATTTGGGAGTCTGTTCCCAGGAGCAGGATTAAGGACGCTGACATTGGGAAGTGGGGAAGTGGGAAAGTCAACATAAGGAGTTTTTATTTTTCCCGTAGCCCCCGACTTTACTATTTGAATATTTGCAACTCTGACTCTATACATAAGTTTTAATTTCTTATAAAACTCTACATTCCATATTGCTAGGTCACTTAACTCTCCATCTTACATCACATTTCATCAAGAAGTATTTCCCCAAATGACAACCGGCCTGATTGTGGGCTTGCTGCTGTTCAATTGCTAAGTTGTGTCCGACTCTTGCGACCCCATGGACTGTAGACTTCCAGGCTCCTCTGTCCACGGGATCTCCCAGGCAAGAATACTGGAGTGGGTTGCCATTTCGTTCTCCATGTAAGGATTTTTTAAATTGAAGTATAACTGACCTATAACATTATATTTATATTAGCTTCAGGTATACAACGTAGTGATTAAAAAAAATTTTTTAATGGAAATAGTTGATTTATAATGTGTTAGTTTCACGTATATAGTAAAATGGTTCAGTTATATACATGTACATGTATACGAGTATACATATATTAGTTTTTACATTCTCTTCCATTATAGATTATTACAAGGTATTGAGTATAGTTCCTTGTGCTGCACAGTAGGCCCTTGTTGATTATCTATCTTATATATAGTAATGTGGATATTTTAATCCTAAACGCTTAATTTATCCCTCCCCCCAACACAATGATTTTATATATTATATTTCAAAATGACCCCCATAAGTCTAGTTAACATCTGTCATCTTACAGTGTTACAGTTTTTTATCTTGATGAGTTCTTGGATGACAAATTCTTTTTTTTTTTTCCCCAGTTTTGAGATGTAATTCACAGATCATATAAGTTTAAAGTGTACAACATAATGGTTTGATATGTGTATGTATTGCAAAATGATTACCACAGTTAAGTTTAGTGAGCATGGGATGACAAATTCTTGATGAGAACTTTCAAGACCTGCTTTTGTAACAAGTTAAAAGTATGCAACACAGTATGACTTACTGTAATCACCATTCTGGGTATTACATTCCTATGTCCTACTTGTTTTATAACTGGAGGTTTCATTCCTCCCTGAGGCTGAATAATATTCTATTGTGTGGCTGGACCTCATTTTTGTTTATCTGCTCATCAGTTAATGGACACTTGGGTTGTTCCTACTTTCTGGCGGTTGTGAATAGTTCTCTGAACATGGGTGTGCAAGTATCTGTTTGTGACCCTGAATTTAAATTCTTTAGGAGTGGAACTATGTGGTCTTATGGTTAATTCCATTTTTAACTTTACGAGGAACCACCCAATTGCTGTCCACAGTGGCTGCACCATTTTGCATTCCTACTAGCAACACACAGACAAGGATCCCTGTTTCTCCGCAGCCGTGTCAGCAACTGTTATTTTCTGTTTTTCTGAGTTTAGGTGTCCTAGCAGCTCTGAGTTGGGACCGCACTGTGATGCTGGCGGCACCCCTGGTGACTGATGATGTTGAGCATCTTTTCATGTGCTTAGAGGACCAGGTGCACATCTTTGGAGAAACATCTGTTCCAAGTTCCTTTGCCCATTTTTCGTTGGGCTGTTTGTTTTTTTGTTTGGGGGTTGAAGGAGATCTTTATATAGTTTGGTTATTAAACCCTCTTTCCAGAGCTGGAATTTGAACTGGCTCTGAACGCTGCTGTCTTCCAACTCTGGCTGGGGATGCTGTGGTCCCCCGGGGCCCAATAAGCAGGGCTGAGATTTATCGTCCATCCTGTGCTTGCTTGTGCTTGCAGGTTCAGCTTTGACACTGTGCTGTGACCACCATTCTCTTGGACCTGATTAGGTGGTGTCCTTGGCGGACTCAGGGAGAGCTCTCTGGATCAAAGGGCCCAGGCAGTTGTGCGAGGTTTGGAACCCTGAGAGTAGCAGGCAGTAGGGGGAAGGAGGCTGGAATAAGAACAGGGGGCGGAGGGCTTCCCTGGGGCTCAGTAGTAAAAAAAGTAAGTGAAGGTCGCTCAGTCGTGTCCAACTCTTTGGGACCCCATGGCCTATACAGTCCATGGAATTCTCCAGGCCAGAATACTGGAGTGGGTAGCTGTTCCCTTCTCCAGGGGATCTTCTCAACCCAGGGATTGAACCCAGGTCTCCCACACTGCAGGTGGATTCTCTTATCATATGAGCCCCCAGGGAAGCCCAGGAACACTGCAGTGGGTAGCCTATCCCTTCTGCAGGGGATCTTCCTGACCCAGTGATTGAACCAGGGTCCCCTGCATTGCAAGCAGATTCTTTACCATTTGAGCTACCGGGGAAGCCCCAGTGGTAAAGAATCCGCCTGCCAATACAAGAGATAGGGGTTCAATCCCTGGTCCGGGAAGATGGTATGTGCCATGGAGCAATGAAGCCCGTGCGCCATGACTATGAAGCCTGTGCTCAAGAGCACATTGACCGCAACTAAGCCGGCACACCCTAGCGCCGTGCTCCGCTAAGAGAAGCCGCTGCAGTGAGAAGCCCGGGTACCATGACTAGAGGGTAGCCTCCCTCCGCTTGATGCAATTAGAGAAAAGCCCTCGTAGCAACGAAGTCCCAGCACAGGCAAAAATAAAGAAGTAAAACTGTATATTAAAGAAATAACAGGGGGCAGGGGTATGATATTCAGACTCCACCCTGGCCCCCGGCAGGCTGTCTTGAGGCAGAGTGTAGCGCATCCGCTCACTTGCTTGGAGCCCAAACCACTGTAGCTGCCGGATGAGGTGACGGCTCGGTGGGAGTGTTGCTGTGTAGGCAGCAGGGGTGTAAGTGCTGTCAGGCGGATTCCGTGGGCTTCCTGGGCAGAGGTTGCAGGACGTGGGGACCCCGACAGTCCCTCCAGCATCTCTAGCCGATGCGAGCTGGCCCACCATCAGGACCAGTCTGGGGGACACACACCCTTTGAGGCACATCCACGTGTCACTCTGAGACTCAAGAGGCCCAGGGAGGGTGGGAACGTACCACGGCCACCCAGTGAGATCAGGGCTGACCTTGAGATGGGCTTGTGGTGCCACTGAAGCTTGGGTGGGGGGACTTGGAGCAAGCTTCCCCCCCTGACTGGACAGAATTCCTTGGCCCTTGTGTGCATCGCCTTGCATACCCCCAGGGACAGGCAGCTCATCACCTCTAAAACAGTTGATCCCATTGCTGAGTGGCTCTGACAGGAAGTTCTCTGGGCGGGGAGGAAGGAGGAGTGCAAAAGGGAAGCGACTTCCTGGGTCACTGGGAGAGATGGGCAGGCCAGGATCGGATGCTGGGCAATTCGAGTCCGGGCCTGCCTGGCTTCTGCTGCAGCCCTGGGGACCCTCTTCCCAGGCCAGCCTGAGGCTGCCCGGCTGCTGGCTGGGCAGGAGGGGTGGACACTGGGCACACTGGAGTCAGGCGCTGATGGCCCTAGGGTGCCTGCATCCTCCCTGGCCTCAATCCCCATCCGTGTGCCCGGGCACTGGCCCCACCTGAGGATCCCAGGGAAAAAGCAGACCTGGGGTGTGAGCGTGACGGTCCCCTCGAGTGCGTGTCGCCCCTGCCCTGTCCCTCCCGGCCTCTGGACACTGCACCAGCCAGCTCAGCAGCCTTACGCCTGGCCCTGCAGCCCCCTCCGGCCAAGCAGAGGTTTCTAGAAGGCACTGCCCTCTGGACCTAAGGGCCCCGACTCCGCCCTTTTCTCTCTTGGCTACTCCCTGCCTGGGCGACTGCCACTGCCACTGTGTTCTCCCTTTTCTGTTAAACAAGATACAGAAAAGTACAAACGATGTGATAACAAACACCCACCACCTCCACCCCCAAATAAGCACATCCAACGTTTTATCCTATTTCCTTCAGATCTTGTTTAAAAGGACTGAAATACCCAGACAAAGCCAGAGCCCTCCACATTCCCCTCCCCCAGCCCCACCGCCCCCTCCCAGGGCCCAGAGAGTCTGCCTGTGGCCCGCCCCCCACCCTTGAAGACGCATCTACGCACAGCACCGCGTGGGTATCGAACCTGCAGCTGCCGGCAGCTGCTTTGATTTCGGGCATCACGTTTCTGTGACCCAGGCTGACACGGGCTCTTTACTGAGGCTGGTGACCAAGACCCCCTCTCCCACAACCCCGCCACTCTGGGAAGTCTCCCCAGAGCCGCCCTGGGGTAGGCGGTGGAGGCGGGTCTGTGGGTGCACAGTCTGCAGGACTCTCTGGGTCACTGCCTGGGGGCTTGATGGTGGAGGAAAAAGGCGGGAGGGAGTGAAGAGGGCAGGAAAAATGGGAAGTGGGGAGGGGAAGCACGGATTTTGGGACCCAGGAGGCCAGTGCCTGCCTCACCTTCTCCCCCGCCCTCCCTACAGCCAAGTACCCAGCCATCAAGGCCCTGATGCGGCCGGACCCCCACCTCAAGTGGACGGTAACGGGGATGGTGCTGGTGCAGCTGCTGGCCTGCTGGCTGGTGCAGGGGCTGGCGTGGCGCTGGCTTTTCTTCTGGGCCTATGCCTTCGGGGGCTGTGTGAACCACTCGCTGACTCTGGCCATCCACGACATCTCGCACAACACCGCCTTCGGCACGGGCCGCGCCGCCCACAACCGCTGGTTCGCCATCTTCGCCAACCTGCCCGTGGGCTTGCCCTACGCCGCCAGCTTCAAGAAGTACCATGTGGACCACCACCGCTACCTGGGTGGCGACGGGCTGGATGTGGACATACCCACGCGCTTTGAGGGCTGGCTCTTCTGCACGCCGGCCCGCAAGCTGCTCTGGCTGGTCCTGCAGCCCTTCTTTTATGCGCTGCGGCCGCTCTGTGTGCACCCCAAGGCCATGACCCGCATGGAGCTCTGCAACGCCCTGGTGCAGCTGGCGGCCGATGCCGCCATCTACGCCCTCTGGGGGCTCAAGCCCGTGGTCTACCTGCTGGCCAGCTCCCTGCTGGGCCTGGGCCTGCACCCCATCTCGGGCCACTTTGTGGCTGAACACTACATGTTCCTCAAGGGCCACGAGACCTATTCCTACTACGGGCCCCTCAACTGGATCACCTTCAATGTGGGTTACCACATGGAGCATCACGACTTCCCCAGCATCCCCGGCTGCAACCTGCCCCTGGTAGGTGGGGTCAGGGTGGCGGCAGGCACCCGCGGGTGGGGGGCGAGGCGGGGAGGCGTGGGGAGGGCTTTGGGCTGCACTGTGGCCTCTCTCTCCTGCCGATCACGGGGTGGCCACATTCTCCCTTGCGGTCCCCAGGGCAGGGGGAAAGGCCACGAGGCACACGGCGTGCCTGACTGGAGAACGAGGAGGTGAATTCAGGGTGGGCAGGGGCTTGAGGGCTATGTTACAGTTCAGGCCTCTTGGTTTCACGGGACCCTGTTTGAGCACAGTTGTGACAGTCCCGGGCTGGCTGTGTGTCCTGGGCCCAGCCGCTGGCCCTCTCTGTGCCTCAGAAGGTGCAGCGGTGTGGGCGAGGCAACCCCCCCTTCTTGTCCCTGCCCTGCGACCCTCCAGGGCCCCCTCATGGCACAGAGAGGCCAGAGGTCTTGCCCTTTGTGACCCAAGGGGTCAGTGTGAAGCGTCCGTCCTGGGAGACCTGGGGTTGGAAGAGTGTCTGAGTGGGCGAGTCCATGTGTGTCCGCGTGGCTAGGTGTGCCTGTCCGTACATGCGTGTCTGGGTGTGCATGTTCACCCACCCGTGGGTTCGAGTGTGTGAGAGCGCTGGCCTGGGTGTGCAGGTGTTTGTGGTGTGCCTACCCCCACCCCCCTCCGCCCCACTCCTCCGAGGTCCTGCTCTGTGCTGACCACAGTCTCGTGGACGCCTCACCCTAAGCCCATGCGACATTTCAAGGCCATCATGCCCATTTCATGGATGAGAAGGCAGAGGCTCAGGCTGGGGGGGTTCCCTGGCCCCAGGAAGCAGCAGAGCCAGACTTTTGACCCAAGACGGTCACAGGAGCGCCTGCTGTCAGCTGTGACCCTTTACTCCCCCCAAGCAAAGTCAAAGCCTCCCAGCTCCCGCCTTGTGGGTCCCTTCATGCCCCGGAGGGCGCCCCCCATCCCTTCCCGCCCCGTCTTCGGCCATAAAGCAGGTCCTGTGCACCTAGCCTTTCCCACGGTTGGCGAGCAGGGGAGGATGTAGCTGCTGAGGCTGGAGCACTTCCTGGAGGAGGCGGGCTGAGGGTGTCAGGTGCAGAGGGGGGCAGGGAGCTGGGGTGGGAAATGACAGGTACTGAGGCCAGAGAGGAGGATGATGGGGTGAGGGGGTGGTGAGAGCCGAGGTCAGAGGAGAGCCTGCAGGTCCCCGAGGGCATCTTGTGCCGGGTGCGGAGGCGCGGGCACAGACCGTGGTTCAGCAGGACTCAGAAGTCGGGCCCACCCCGGGGCTCCTGGCTCACTCGGGGTGTGGGCCCCCGGGAGGGAGGGGAGTGTGCATTTTAATTCCTCACCCCGTTTGGGGCTGGGGGCGAGGGGGACGGGGCGAAACTCAGCGCCTCCTGGTGCCAGCGGCCCCTCCGCTTTCGGGCAGAGCCTGCGGCCTCCTGCCTGCCTCAGCGGGAGAACACAGGTACCCTCAGCGCGGACAGGGCTGTGCGCGCGTGCACGTGCTCACGTGGTCTGTGTGCTCGCACGTGTGTCTGCGTGTGCGCGTGCGCGGCCTCTGACCCGCTCGCCCCACCCCTGCAGGTACGGAAGATCGCACCTGAGTACTACGACCACCTGCCCCAGCACCACTCGTGGGTGAAGGTGCTCTGGGATTTTGTGTTCGACGACTCCCTGGGGCCCTTCGCGCGGGTGAAGAGGGTGTGCAAGCTGGCGGAGAACCGCCTGTGAGCCCCACAGCCGGCTGGCATCCTGGGGCCCGTGCGCTGGCTGCTGCCCCGCCCCGCCCCGCCCGATGCAGGGCTGGCTGTCACCATCCCCGGCCTAGTGCCCAGAACTGGTTTGGCTGCATGCATTTGGTTCCCGCGCCCTGGGCCGCTGCTCTTTTCCCTGGACACCCCCCCCCCGCCCCCAACCCCCAAGACCACACCTGGCGGCAGCGGCACGGATGGCGGCTCGGGCTGTACGTGGACTGGTGACCTCAGGCCGGCCCTCCCTTTCAGGGCTGGGCCTGACCCTGCCCTGGGCACTCTGCGCCTAGGGAGCAGAGTCCTCTGGAGTTCCCATGCCCTAAATTAAATCCAACGTTGGTTTTCAAGTCCCCAGAGCCTACTTCCCCGGATTGGGCCTGGCTCCCTGCGAGCAGGGCCTGGGGCCGCTGTATGCCGCCCTCGTGGGGACCAGCACTGAGGCAGCATTCTGGCTGGCCCCAGGTGTGGGCAGAGGTCCATGTGTTCCTTGGCCCATGCTCCTGCCTCAACCCGCACCCCCACCCCGGTCTGCCTCACCCCTGCTCCACCTTGAGCCCGCACCCCCACCGGCTCAGATGTGGGGCTGGAGAAGAGGTACCACAGGTCAGGGAGATGGTGGGTGGACAGGTGACCAGACTGAGGCGTGACAGTCCAAGTGAAGGGCAGCTCTGATGGTGTCTCCAGGACGTGGGGCACGGCCTGTCCTGGTTAAGCCAAGGACTGATGACACAGGTGATGGGGTGGCATCGGCAGCCCCTGGCCCAGGGAGGGGCTGTGTTGGGATGGGGGTCCGGGTCTCCCAGAGGCAGGCAGGCAGCAGGAGGGTGCCTGGGCGAGGAAAACACAGCCCCCCTTGGAGACGTGCCTCTGAGGCTGGGGAGGCCGGGGATCACCCCTGGGGGTGGGTGTGGTGGGGCTGGGAGTGGCCCTGGGCAGTCTGACACTGGGATGGCCCGGGGAGTAGACCCCTGTGCTCAATGAGGGAGGGGAGTGTGGCTCTCAGCAGGGAGCCGCGAGCGCTCAGCTGAGCCCTCGAGCTGCCAGGCGCTTATCTGACCCCGCCAGAGCTGAAGGTGGGCCCAGGGCTGTCAACCATCCTGGGAGGCGGCAGCCCGGGAGCTGGGAACACCCCGTGGACACCTGTCCACCTCCCTCCACACGGCCCCCGGATTCCTGGACTGTGGGTGGTGGGAGGAGCTGCAGAACGCCTCTCGGAACAGTGGGTTAAAGCCGCTCCCCTCCTGACATGCAGAGCAGGCTTCCTCTCTCTGTGTTGCTGGGGGCACACAGTGAGACGGACTATGTCCAGCCTGGCCAGCAAGCGGTCCCGTTGTCCTGAGCCAGGCTGGGGAGTGGGGTGGGGTTCCTCCCATGGCCCCCAGAGGACGGCTGGGCCAGGGCCCAGGCACACTGCTCTCCTGGAGGCCGGGGGATGGTCACAGGATTTCAAAGCTTTCCTACTAGCTGGGGCCACTCTGGGCACAGGGGCAGCAGTGGCCAGCGCTGAGGGCCAGACCCTTTGTGGTTCAGCCCTGCATGGTCTAAGATGTGTCTCTGAGGGGCACAGGGGCTGCAGGCAGGGCAGAGGCCACACCTGCTTGCCTTGCCTTCCTGTCTGGCTGAGCCGGAGTCACAGGGCCCCATCTGTGAGGTGGGGGTGGGGGGTTTGAGCAGGTGCACCCTCCTGGCCCCTCTGATGTTCCCGCACAGGGCCCACCTCCCTGGAGGAGGCCTACGGGGAGAGGCAGTCCCCAGGACCCCCGCTGGAAGCGCCTGAGCTGGCAGCCCACGCCCCGTCCTTCCTCGCCTCACTCCCAAGGCCCCCGTCTGGCCCCAACTCCTGGCACCACTCTGCAGGCCCTCCCCCAAGAAGAGGCCTCCCCAGCCAGGCGAGACCGGGAGCTGGCGCTGAATGAGCAAGCCAGAGCCGGGGTGTGGACAGTAAGCGTTTATTACCACGTGGACACAGACGGCTTGGTGCGTGGACGGACCCTCACCGCCGGGACGTGGGGAGGAGCCGCGTGGAAGCGGCCGCCGCGCCCAGGGGCACCTAGGAGAAAACTTGAGACCTTCTAACGAGGCGCGTGACTTGGGGCGTCTTCTCTATGAACCCAAAGAAACATACATTTAAATAGGCAGATATAAAATACAAAAAAAGGCTGCAGGCCTGGTGTTTTGTGTCAGGTTGAATCTAAAAAAATCCAGGAACTGAACTTTTCTCCTCATTTTAATATTTTATCACAGGTTAAGACTTAAACGAAGCACGTCCTAGCTTCAGCGCGTGCTGAGTGTGCTGGAGGCCTGGGCGCTGGGCTCTGTGGGGTCCCCGCCGTCGGGTGGCCCGGGGTCGTGGGCGGCATCGGGGGCTCCGGCCTACGAGGTGCTGATCCCACTCAGCTCCTGCCTGATGGCTGAGGGACAGGACAGGAGAGGGGCTCAGTCCCTCAGCTGCCTGCACGAGGGGCCGCGTCCACTGCGGCCGCTATAGCAGGTGGAGACCGAGGCACCCCCAGCCCGCCCCACCCCGCTCCGGCCCATGGCCTCCCGAAGCAGGGGTGCCTAGCAATAAAGTGGGGTTAACAGTTGGCCTCTGTGTCTCTTTCTGGCTCCCGCTCTGTCTCCCCTCTTCATTCATTAACTCCTTATCTGCCCATCCCAGCCTGGTAGGGGACTGGACCAACAGGAAGTTGAGTGCTCGCCGCTGGATCAAGGACAGGGTGTGGCCGATCACCCAGCCCCGGGCAGGGGTCCGGATCTGCTGGCTCCCAGCCGCTCTCCTCTCTCCAGGGTCCCCCATGCATGATGGGGTGGCGGCGGGGGGTGGGGTGGGGTGCCTGGACTGTGCCTCCCTGCTCGGGGGCTCAGCCAGCCTGGCCCACACCTTTCCTTTTCCTCTGGCCCCAGATCTGAACCGGCCGTTTCAAAAGCTCCGGTAGGGAGTGGACAAATGGATGGGATTCACTGCGCCTAGCAGGCGGTGGACTTGGTCAGGCCCTTAGGCAGTTCTGTGGCTTCTGGGGCCTTCTAGCCTCTGGGAAGGCAGCAGTTGCCCTTGCAGCCCCAAACCCGGGGATCAGAAGCAGAATAAAAAGAGTGATCTAAGTCCACGGGATACTAAGATAAAGAGCAGATGGTTCAAAGCTGCTCTGAACTGGTGAATGCACCCCTCACCGCCTCCAGCTTATCTGGGAGGGAGCCCGGGAGAGTCAGACCGAGGCGCAGACCACCAGCACGTGCTCACACTTGGACAAGCTCCTTAATCTGTCTGGGCCGCCTCAGTCTGCCCAACCAGAGAACTGGGAGGCCGGAGTGGGCTGTGGGGAGGAAGAACGAAACCCCTCGGCGCAAACCTTCAGCCTCCCAGCCCAGGACAGCCTCGCTGGCTGGGCTGTCCTGGCCCCTGGCTTGCAGCCCTGGGCACAGGCACCCCTGCCCTCCCCAAGGACTGTCGGCGTGAGCCTGGCCTGGGTGCTGCCCCGTGGCGGGGTCGGGGTGTGGTAGGGGCGCCACTCACCATCAATGATCTCCTCCTTCACTTTGTGAAGCTCCCGGACCACCTCCTCGAGGATCTCCTGTTGGGAGCAGGGCCTCGGGGTGACGGTGGCTGTGGTCACGGGCAGGGGCGGCCAGGCTCCCTTCAGGGCCACGTCCCTCCGTGTTCTCAGCAACCCCACCACCGGGGAACGGTGTGTGTGAGGCAGGACGGGACACCCTGCGATGCCTCAGAAATACCTGGGTGAAGCCAGAGCGGCCCCACCCAGAGGCAGGCTGGGAGGGCCCAGAGCCCTTTCCTGGTGAAGACGGGGCAGGGGCACTGAGGCTGCATGCGGCTCCCCACCTGCTTGGGGCCTTCTTGGGCCTGCCACCCCCATGGCCCCCAGAAGCCCCCAGCCCTGGCTCCTGCACAGCCTCTCTGGACACACACACTCACCTGTTTCATCCGGTCCAAATCTAAGGCATCCAGGGCCACGTCGTTGACACTCCCCGCCGGCTTCATCCTGGGGAGAGGGCGGCGGGGTGTGGTTGGGTAGGCACTGGGGGGGCTGAGCTCTAGAGGCAAGTGGGCACCCCAGCGCTTGCCTGCTGTGGGCCTGGCTCTGCCCTCTTCAAATGCTGCTGCTTTGGCGCCTCAGAAAGGACTTTCACGCCCTGTCTCCACCTTAAGAGGGCCTCCTGGATACCGTGACCATATTTCCCAACCCAAGCGTCAGGACCTGGGGTCTCCCGACTGGTCAGTGCTCACATGGAAGCACCCACGCATGTGGATGGAGTCCCGAGCCACACGCTCCCTCCCCTGGGAAGAGAATGCTGATAAGCTGGTTCAGAGTAAGCGCTCTGATCCCGGCTAGACCACGGCCTGGGGAAAACCAGTGATGCTTGGCCGAGAGGCACCAACATCTGACACGAACCAGTGTCCCTGGTGTTGGTGACCGGCTCTGTATGTGGTTTCACTCTTCTCAGGCAGACTGCTCAGTTTTGGGAACTGTCCTCTGACGTTTCTGAACTAAGCTTAGCTAGCCTGAAATTTAATGTTTCCTGCACACGAATCCTCCCTGGGAAGTCTTGACAGGGACTCCCCTGGCAGTCCGGTGGTGTTTTCACTGCCAGGGCCCAGGTTCGATCCCTGGTCGGGGAACTAAGATCCCAGAAGTGGCACAGCGTGGTCAAAAAAAACAAAGAAAATCTTGGCAGATGCTTTCACCTGGACTTTCAAAGGGGAATCACGGTGCTGAGGGAGCACTTTCTTGATTCAGTTTCTCTCCCCATGTGGAAAGAGAGGCAGGTTCAGGGAAATGACGTGGCCAGAGAAGCCTACAGGAATCACGGATGTGACAGCCAGTGGACACCTGACTGGGGGAACTGGACACGTGACAGCCAGTGGACACACACTGACTGGGGGAGTGGACATGTGACAGCCAGCGGACACACGTGACAGCCAGTGGACACACACTGACTGGGGGAGTGAACATGTGACACTCAGGACACACAAGAGAGCCGGGAGACACACTTGACTGGGGGAACTGGACACGTGACAGCCAACAGACACACACTGACTAGAGGAGTGGACATGTGACAGCCGGCGGACACACACGTGACAGCCGGTGGACACACACTGACTGGGAGAGTGGACATGTGACAGCCAGCGGACACACACGTGACAGCCGGTGGACACACACTGACTGGGAGAGTGGACATGTGACAGCCAGCGGACACACACGTGACAGCCAGCGGACACGCACTGACTGGGGGAGTGGACATGTGACAGCCAGGGGACACACACGTGACAGCCGGTGGACACACACTGACTGGGAGAGTGGACATGTGACAGCCAGCGGACACACACGTGACAGCCAGCGGACACGCACTGACTGGGGGAGTGGACATGTGACAGCCAGGGGACACACACGTGACAGCTGGTGGACAGACACCTGACTGGGGGAGTGGACACGTGACAGCCGGCGGACACACACGTGACAGCCGGCAGACACACCTGACTGGGGGAGTGGACATGTGACAGCCGGCGGACAGACACCTGACTGGGGGAGTGGACATGTGACAGCCGGCGGACACACATGTGACAGCCGGTGGACACGCACTGACGGGGAGTGGACACGTGACAGCCGGCGGACACACATGTGACAGCCGGTGGATACACACTGACTGGGGGAGTGAACATGTGACAGCCGGCGGACACACACGTGACAGCCGGCGGACACACACTGACTGGGGGAGTGGACATGTGACAGCTGGCGGACACACACTGACTGGGGGAGTGGACATGTGACAGCCGGTGGACACACACTGACTGGGGGGGTGGACATGTGACACTCAGGACACGCTGACTGGGGGAACTGGCAAGACCGCCAGGCGTCACTGTGCAGATCAGGTTGGGCTGGCGCCCTCTGCAGTGGAGGAGAACCAGCAGGACACTGAAGCACTGGTGCGGCTGTGACGGAGAACAGCATGGAGGGGCCTCCATGTGGGTCGGTGATCCCCCTTCTGGGGACACAGCCGCAGGGAACAAGCTCGCTGTTCCCAGCAGATGGCCGAACCCCACACTCGCTGTCAACTGTTCACAACTGCCGCGACATGGAGACAACCTGAGTGTCCACTGACCAATGAGTGGATGAAGATGATGTCCTATCTGTATCTATGTGGGTGCGTGTGTACACACATGTACACGTATAGGTACACGTCACACACGCTTATAGAATGAAGTATTCCATGACAAGAAAGAAGGAAGTCCTGCCATTTGTGACCACATGGACACTGTGCTGAGGGAAATCAGCCAGAGAAAGACAAATGCTGCGTGATCTCACTTATACGTAAAATCCAGAAAAGTCCGGACTTAAAATGGGCAAACGACAGGGCCCTACCATGCAGCACAGGGAGCTCTGCCCAGGGTCACGCGGCAGCCGGAGGAGAGGGGCGCTTGGGGGAGAGTGGACACATGCGTATGTGGCTGAGTCCCTTTACTGTGCGCCTGAAACCGTCACAGCATTTCTTATTAACTGGCTATACTCCAATACAAAATAAAAAAGTCTTGAAAAGCCAAGCTCCTGGAAATAAGAGTAGCCTGGTGGCTGCCAGGGGTGGGGAGGTGGCTGGTGAGGCAGTCGGGCACACAGCGGTGGTAATGGGGTGGACAGTGGGTGTGAACGTGCAGCGCAGTGACCGCGGCTGGCGGTACTGTGTCGCGTACTTGGGAGGCGCGCAGGAAGATCTGGAAGTTCTCACTGCACACACAGAGGAAGGTGACTGTGCGAGGTCACGGACATTTTAACCTGCCTGCCCGCGGTAATCATTTACAGCGTCTAACACATGAAGTCACCGTGCTCTGCACCTTGAACTCACACAATGGTAGACGTCAATTATATCTCAGGGAAGTTGGATTAAAAAGCCATTGAATGCCATGTAAATAAAATTTTAGTGGTCCAGTGCACAAACCCGGATTAAAAAAGAAAAAAATAAAGTGCTCCAGCATGAATCTGGATGAACTCAGTACAGCAGCCAAACGTGGTCCTGACTGAGTGTGTAAGTAATTTTGGATCCTGGTGGGGAAAGAGGGCCCCTTCCCTGCTGTAGGTTCAAGTCCTTGTTTGAAGAGCAATTTTCCGGGGCACCTGAACAAACTGCGTCACCTCTCTGGGCCCTGGTCCTCCCCTCTGGACAGCCCCCCACATAGTGACCCTGACATCTCTGTGGGCCGTAGAGCGGCTGCCCCCAGGGCACCATCTGTGAGTCTAGGAGGCGCTCGGGCTCGGAGCTGGAGAACCTGCTTTCCCAGTGGGAACGCCCTGGACAGCGTGCTCACCCTGGGAGGGACACCTGGCTGCTCAAACTTGTCCTCGCTCCACCAGCAGGACCAGCGAGCCACAGCTCGCAGGAGCCATGGGCCGGCCCTGCCCGCCTTACCTCCCCGGGCCCTGCTCTGGCTCCTGCCTGATGGGTTCACCTCCTGCCTCCAGCCAAGTGAGGAGCCCAGAGAGGTGCTGCATCATGGCGACCTGGCCCAGGGCCCACGGACCGCAGCCTTCTTGTGGGATAAACCCACGCTTTCTCCCTCTCAGTATGCCTTCCTCTGCCCTCCCCATGTCCCACGAGTGTCAGCCACGATGCTCTCCTTTCTCTTCTCTGAACTCGCCAGGCTGGGGGCAGGCTCAGGGCCTTAGCACTCACCACTCTTTCAGCCTGCAAGGCCGCCCCCACACTCTTCAGGGTGGGCTCCCCTCATCCATGTCCACTCAAACACCACCTCTGAGAAGCCCCCTCGCTGAAGTCCTTCTGTGCCCGGCACCGCCCACCCCGGGCCCCTCGCTGTTCTCACGTCAGCTTTTGGTTTGGGAAACGTGGTCAGCATCTCTCTGGGAAGCCGCAGAGGAAGGGGAGAAGGCGCGGTGTGGGGCCAGCCCCAGGACTGTGGGCCGCAGGATGCAGCGAGGGCTGGTGAGGAGGGACTTGCTGCGTGTGGCTGCCGTCCACACACGACCGCCCTGCGGGGGGTGAGCAGGCCTCCGCGCGGGGTGGAGTGGGCAGCGGAGGCTGCGGAGGACCCCTGGCGAGCCCGCCGCCCCGGCTGGCAAGCCCAGGGCTGGGACGGCACCTCCGCGGCCCTGCGCGGCCTCTCTGGATAGTCAGGCCCCTGGGCCTCGGGCCCCCCAACGAGGGTGAAGAGGAGCCGGCCAGCCCCGTCCCTCACGAAGCACAGCCCACCCTCTCCCAGAGACAGGTGTTAGACCACAGTGCGGCAGGGGCCAGGGTGTTAGTCACGGGAGGGGACAGAGGAGGCCCCAAAGACGGGCGGTTCGGTACCTAGAGTGAGGCTGTGACTGCAGGGGGCTCTTAGCTTCGGGGCTCTTGGCCACAGATGGGGTTCTACGCGGTGGGCGGAATGGAGCAGAGGTGAGTTGGCGCCGAGGCCCGCCTGGGCCCCCGACCCGGGTGTGGCGCGGGCTTCTGGGGCGGCTCACCTGGACAGCAAGGAGGACACGGGCTTCTCCGCTGAGCCACTCCGCTCCCAGGGCTTCCGGCTGGCCTCTGTCAGTTCATGGCACGGACGAAGTGCCTCAGGGCTGGGAGCGCACCCATGACCCTGCGCTCCACAGCATCCCAGGCAGACGGCCCCGCCCCAGCTCCCATGGCCCAGGCTGCCCTTGCAGGCCTGGCACCTGCGTCTCCCCAGCTCAGGTCTGGAGCACCTGCTCCCGAGACTTGGTTGACCTGGTTTGAAGTCCTCTCCCCACGGCTAGGGCTTTCCTGGGAATGTGCGCCAGCTGGGCAGGACGGCTCTGAACCAGGACCTCCAGCAGCAACCTGTGCCTCCAGCAGTGGGCCGGGCCCGGCACAGGAAGCCCCTCGGCTGCACCCTCAGCGCAGCCCACACCTGCACTGCGGGCCTGCGTCCCTGCTGTCCCCTGGCTCCGTGGCTTGCCCTGCACACGGCTGGCTGGCTGTTTCCCAACCTGGCCTTGGAAGTTGATTTGTCTTTCCTTTTTCAAGTGCTCTTTAACTGCACTTCATTTTACTACAAGAGGGCCACTGAACTGAATGAGTTCCCTGACTTGGCAGGATGAGCAGAGAGACAGAAGGGAAAGATCCCTGGTGCAGCAGGGGCCAGCCACTCTGAGCTGAGCCTGGAGGCCGCGGGCCGACCCTCGCTGGGCCTGCAGGGCAGACCCGGGAGCGGGACCACACCCGAGCTCCAGGCGCACCACTTACACACACTGAGCTTCTAAGTGGAAACACGCACCCCCTCCACTGGGACATGAGGCATTCACACAGTCACTCACCAAGAATCGTGCCACTGCCTGAAGAAAGGCCATGGACCCCAGCCTCACAGGGAGGCTGACAAGCCAGCAGAGGGGCAGGACGTGAGGCCCAGGTGGCCGCAGAGCCGTGCCCCAGCGAGCTGCCAACAGCGGGCATGAGCCTCCCGCCACTGGCTCCCCGCAGTGAGCTTGGGAGCACAGGCCTGGCTCAGAGCAGACCCTGAGATGTTTGCTGAATGACTGAGGGATCAACTGCAGTGGCATCTTCCCACCACTGAGCCTGGAGGCACTCTTCTGACCACACGCCTGTCCCAGCGCTCAGACCAGGGTAAGTTCAGGGCCCTCTGCTTTGCAGGCCTCGTCAGGCTGACTGCTCAGTGAGCGAGGCTCCCTGGTGGTGACCGTAACATCCTGGCGTTTGGCAAGGAGCAGGACCGCAGTATTCACATGCTCCTCTTCAGAGGAGGGCCCAAGGCCAGGAAGCTGAGCCTCCAGGCGCATCTCTCCCACCCCTCCTAGGTGCAGGCAGGCCCCCTGGGGGAGCAGCCGGATGGGGTGCTCTCTCCTCCAGGGTGCCCCGCTTGGGCTCAGGCTCAGACTGCAGGTGGCCACTGATGGGGGCCCGGGGGGCTTCCGTGCAAGATGGCAGGGCGCCCCACCAGCTCAGCCTCTCTGCTCATCCGCCAAGTGAGGCCATGGTGGTCAGATCACCTTTTTGTGAGAGCCCCTCCCACTCTAAGACCCCACGCCTGGTGCAGGAAGGGTGGGACCCCTTACCTGATGAGCTGGGGGGCTGCTGACTGGCTGCTCGGGTCCCTGGAGATGGAGAGGTGCTGGGCTCTTCCTGAAACGGAAGAGAAAGGTTCTGCTGTCGATCTGGTTAGGAAGGCCGGTTGGGTGGGGACCTTCGGGCCAGGTCATCTAAGAGACCCCAATTTTCCAACTTATCCAGTGAGCCAGTGTTACTTCCATAGTGAGACAACCACTGTGTTTCACTAATGAAGACCCCAGGTGGTGCGGGGAGGTGGTCCACCCCATGGCAGCCGGGGAAGGAGAAGGCTGCAGGGAGACACAGCGGACGAGTCAGGACAACTGCTCACAGCCGGTCCCCACACCGAGCACCGACCTGGCAACTATCAGGAACCCCCCACCCCGTATTTGTGGGGTGCATGAATGAATTCTTGCAGTCGCTGATTCAGAGGCAGGGTGGTCTCAGGGGCTGTGGGTCTCAGGAAGATCTCCCAAGGCCCCTTGTTGTGAGAGAGAGTACAGTTAATGAAATTATGGAAATCAACACATGTGCCTGGGGACCAGGACCCAGAGGAAACAGGCAAGAGTGGGAGACATTACAGGTGAAATTAGTGTAACTGAAGAAAAGTCAGAAAAAATTTTAACGTCATCCTATTATTTTAAAAATAACTAGTGAGACTGCTCCCTCTATAAAGGGAAATTCGGCCTCAGTTGCAAGCCGGGAAGAGCCCCCGTAGCCCCTGCAGGCACCTCCACCGGCCCGTCTCACAGCCCGCGAGGCTGCCTGGTGCCCGGGGGCTGTGCTCTTCATGCCTGGGACACGTCCTTAGAGCCCCATGGCCAGCAAGGGGCAGTAGCCCCACCCAAGCCACCTGACTCCACATTCGGGGTGCTTTCCTTCTTTAAACCTTGTGCCCGTTCGGGGGAGAAGATCTGGAAAACACAGAACAGTGAAGAAATGAAAATGCCAGGGACCCCCTAGAGGTCCAGTGGTTAGGCCTGCTTTCACTGCTGAGCGCCCAGTTTCGATCCCTGGCGGGGAACTAGGATCCCCAATCTGTGCAGGACGGCCAAAAAAAAAAGAAAAAAGAAAAAAGAAAAGCCAGCCGCTGGTGTCCCTGGCCACACTGCACTCGCTCTGCTGTGTGGGACTGTCTCGGCCCTGGAAGAGGCGTCCCAGCCACATGCGACCAAGGTGGGGGACCAAGGCAAATGGAACTCGCAGCAGCCTGGAGGCCTATAGAAGAAGAGGAGTCAGAGAAAGAAAACTCTACCTTTGGGGTCAAAGATTTCTCCTGGGTCCCTAGGATTTGAAACCCATTCTTTCCTGGTGGCTCAGATGGTTAAGGAATCTGCCTACAATGCCAGAGACCTAGGTTCGGTTCCTGGCTTGGGACGATCTCCTGGAGAAGGGAATGGCAACCCACTCCAGTATTCTCGCCTGGAGAATCCCATGGACAGAGGAGCCTGGCGGGCTATAGTCCATGGGGTCAAAGAGTCAGACACGACTGAGAACTCCCACTCCTTTTCTTCCGAGAGCCCAGGGAGCTGCGGCTGGCGGTGCTGGCTGGAACCAGCCACGGTCTTTGGAGACCCGTGACTACCCCCAGGCTCCCGGCCACAGAGGCCTCTGCACTTGCAGACATTCAGGCAGAGTCAGCTGGATGGACTCCATACCTGGTGCAAGGCATGCGGACAGTGGAATATGCACGCCTAGTCCTCGCAGGGCTCACAATCCAGCAGCAAAGAGTGAATTAATGAGATAAATGTGTGCGCTGCAAGCCGAGCAGAAGCACGGCAGGGCCTGGTGTGTCCACGCAGCACGGGAAGCCGGGGCAGGCTGGCGGCGGGTGCACTTACTGTTTGGCTTTCGTCTTCCTTCTTGTCAGCCGGCTTGTCTGTCTGGGAGGCTGCTTTTCTCCTAACACAGGAGGAAGAAGACACACCATCAGTCCTGGAGGTTTCCACACTGACCGGACGCCTCTTCTGTGTGGATGTGGCTTGGTCCTCAGAGGCCCCTTGCTGGGGTCTAACCTGTTTCGTGTGAAGGAGGCAACTTGTCCAGGCACCTATCTGGCCTGGAGTGATGCCTGAGTGAGTGTCCAGGCCTTCTGTGCTGGTCCCAGGACTCTAGACGCCTAACTGGCCTGGCGGGGGGTGTGGGCACACTTGCATCTCTGTCTACAGCACCCGAAGGGCAAAAGTTGGTCCACACCCCATCCAAGTCAGAAGAGCTGGGTGACAGCTATGGCCCCAGAACACCCAGGCCTGGCCACGAGGGGTAGGAGAACCCTGCACCCCGCAGGTCAGCCTGCAGACAGCCTGCGGGAGGAGGAAGCCTGCCGTCACCCTGAAGTCCCTCTGCCTTGGAGCCCAGCAGCCACGCCCTCCCAACCTGGACGCTGCGAAGAGCTGCTCAGGAAGGAGAGGCTCCAACAGACGCCTCTGGTCACGACAGCACCCGCCTGGGGCTGAGTCCCTGCTCAAACACCCTGAAAACTCATTGCTCTCTGCTGGCCGCACTGGGCACCGACATCTGGCTAGTTCTCACATCCACACGCAGCAGTCTCTCTGGAGCTGCCAGAACACACAGTGCGCAAGAGCTTACAAGTGAGCTGCCCAGCACGGGGGAAGCCGGCCTGGCGGGGGTGACGGCCACCAGTGGGCTGTCCCCATCGATAGACCAGCCCACGCTGCAGCCTCCTGTCACACAGCGGCCCCTTCTTCATCTGCTCACCCCGGGAAGGACGGGTCCTCCTAGAGACCCGGGTATCGTTCCCGATGTCTTCCTCCCGCCAGCATGCCCACTCAGTCCTGCCTCTGCATTTGTTTCTTTATTTCCAACGCTGGGTGCAAGCACCCCGGCTCCTCCCTGGCCTGCCACTGTGCCTGTCCAGAGCCAGTGTTTGGTCTTCTAAGAAAACAGCAGACCAGGCCCCTTCAGTCCCGTGGAGGTTTCCTGCGACGAGCTGTGGACAAGCTGTGGACAAGATGCCCCCGCTTGGGAAAGGCTGTGGGGTGGCCCTCGGAGGGAGGAGGCAGCAGCTCCGCCAGGACCTCCATTCAAAGAACAGCCAGCGAGCTCCTTGCCGGTTGTGTGGGGTGTGCGGTCTCTGGGCCCGGCTCTGCCGCCAGCACCTGGCGTCTCCCTGGCTCCCGGCACACTGGCCTTTTCCTGTTCTCAGAAACTTCCTCTCCGTTTGGTCTAAACCATCAAGGCCAAGCTGTTACTGTGAAGGCACTGGTGCTGGACTTGGGGAGAGTGTGCATATTTTGTTTTTAAAGAAAATCTATTTTTAACATGAGGCCCCCCTGGAATGGAGTCCAACCTGCCTGCACGACGAGACTGCTTTTCTTGGACAGCAAGGAGCGTGCTGGAGGCGAGGCCTGCTCCCCAGCCCTCTGGCGTCCGGGTGAGCCAGGGCACGGGACCCCGTCAGCATGCCCCTGCTGCCACCCCATGTCCACAAGCACGGCCTGAGCTCTGCGATCTCCCCCAGAGAGAGCTGACAGACCGCTCCACCTGCTAGGGATGCAGCTGGGGACCCACAAAGCGCCATGGCGACAGGCTGATCACCCTGGGTGAACCAGAGCTGCAGGCGCTGGTGCGGACGGGAGTGGAGGCCCGGTCCCCAGGCCCCGGAGTCGACCAGGACATGGGGGCACTGTTGCTCCATTTCTGTGGGGACATCCTTGGGGCTCCGGCCACTCAGTCACTCCTCCTGGGGCCTCTGTAACCTCCCCACAGGATGGGCCCCATCATCACACATTTCCCAGGGGGAACAGTTCTCTTTTTCCCTGAGAATTCATCTCTGAAATTATCTCCAAATTTCTCTCCGCTCAGGATAGGCTGAGACATGGCAGATACTTTGAGACGAGCACTTGTTTGACTGAAATGAGGCAGGTTTTAAGACTTGAGAGGACTCCTTTTGGCTCGATGTCTCAGACTGACCCCTGGAGAAGGGAAACCTGACTGACAGTCCCCCTGCTCGGCTGAAGCCAGGGGACGGTGGCTGCTGGCTGGGGAGGGTGGAACTGCATCCCCCTACCCCTCTGGGACTGGGAGCAGGAGCCCCCGACAAGCAGCTGAGCTGGCTGCGGTCAGTCGACACACCCACCTCTTGGCCAGCAGCTTGTTCATCTCTTCCATGAGGCCTCCTCCGCCACCCCCACTGCTGGCCCGGTTGGCGTCAGACTTCGAGGGCCCGCTGGGACTGGAGCCTCCGGACGCATCTTCTGGCTAAGGGGAGAGGATGCTTCAGGCCGGTGACTTGAGGGAAAAGGGGCTGGGTATGACGGCAGAGCTGGGAGAGGCCAGGCCAGGCCCTCTGGTCCCATCTCCCCAACCCCACCCACTGGCGTCAAAGTCAAGAGTCCAGAGGGAGCCGTCGACTGGAGGTCACTGTTCACAGACATGCCCCAGGTCCACTGGCTCACGGTCAGCGGCCTTGACGAGGCGGGTGTGACCTGACAGGTGAGGGGGCATGAGTGTGTATCAGAGGTGCCCTTTAGCCCACAAACACACACAGCCTTCTTCCAGAAGCTCCACCTGCCAGGACACTGGGGACGACTGGGGAGGACCAGCTGAGCCCGAGGAAGCTGATGGACTTAAACTCAGGAGACCCAGGGCCTGAGTCCAAGCTGCAGCTGCTGACCTGCATGCTTGGGACAAGCTGTTCACATGCCCAGCCCTCGGTTTCCTCGTAAGGAGGGTGGCAGCTCCCGCCTCATGCAGCGCCGCCCCAGTTCTCCTGGGAACCGGGGAACCAGGGTTGGGGAGGGTGGTGATGCACCGCCCCCCCAGTAGGGAAGGGCCCCCCAGCCTCATCCTCCCCCACCCGCCCCCAGGGGCCCGGGACGCTCACCCGCTGCACTCGTCTCAGCTTGGCCCCAGCCAGGGCGGCAGCCAGGCCAGACACGGAGCTCTCGTCGTGGCTCGCGCCCTGGGCCCCTCCGGCCGGCAGTGGGGGTGACAGGAGAGAGGGGCGCCGGCTGCAGAGGAGGGGTGCCCCGGCGGGAGGCTGGGTCCTGAAACACAGCGGTGGGCTCGGTGAGGGCCCAGGCCCCGCGGGAGCCTCCTGAGAGCTCCTCGGCGGACGAGGAACAGCTCAGGGTCACTCTTCCAGGAAGCCTCTCAGGAGGCACTTGCCACTGTCCCGGTCCCTGCCGACACCTGGGGCCCGGCGGGACCCAGCGTCACACACTGGCTTCGTGCCCCCGAGCTCCACTGCCTTCCTGCTGCTCAGCGGTGGTCTTCCCGGGGAGAGGAAGCCCTTTGGTGCACAAATGGCATCTGTTTCCTCCTCTGCTCCTTCTCAGCACTGAGCACCCTGCCAGGCACTGGCAGATGTCAGCCCCCGAGATGCAATGGTGGCCGCCCCTTTGGCCTTGGGGGATGGCGGCAGGGCCGACGGGAACGCGTGTCCAGGAGCCGCGCCGCATGCTGGGCAGTCCTGCCCCGCCCCCTGTCCAAGTCTCCGCAGCCTGCCCGGCCCTGTGCAGGGCGCCGGGGACCAGTGGCCACAGGCTCCGTGCTCTTGGAGCTCATGGCCTGGTGGGGAGCAGTGAGCCAATCGCATGGACGACTGCACATCTGTCACTGCGGAGGGTGATAAGTGCCACAAAGAGCGGGCGCACAGTGCCACCCTGGCCTGTGAGGAGGGATTACGGCTGGCCAGAAGCCCGCAGGAGGCTTCCTCAGGGAAGGAAGAACCACGCCGGGACAGGAGTGAAGCCTGGTGAAGGGGGCACGGGTGCGAGGGAGGCGGTGGCCCCGGAGGAAGTGAAGGAGCTGCAGGAGAGCGCTCGCGGGGTGGTGGGCCTGCAGGGACCGGGCCTGTGCACCTGGAGGCCGGGCAGGGAGCCCAGGTCGCTCAGGGTGATGGGGAAGAGCTGCCACGGCGACAGGGTCAGATCCGAGTTAGAAATGTGGGGTGTGGCTGGCACCCTGTGAGGCCTGTGCGCCCAGCAGCAGGTCGCCGAGTGCCCAGTGTGTCCCAGGCACCGTCCAGGGCAGGGATGGCCCCTGCAGGGGCGGGACGCTCTCACCTGTGGCCGAGGTTCTTCTCTCGAGGGACTCCTGGCGCTGTTGGTGCTGCTGCTGCTCCATCACTTGTCTGAGAAGCAAACACAGAGCAGTGAGAACAGGTCTGTGTCAGAGCCCAGGCTGCAGAGTCAGGCTTCCCCGGGGCCCCCCGGGCTCAGCAGTGAGCCCGCCTCATCCCTCCCGGGGCTCCAGCTGCCAGGCCTGCTGTCCCCGCTTACACAGGCCGAGCTGTGACCAGGGCAGCGCCGGCAGCCCCTCACGAGGGCTCGCCACCTAGCCGAGTGACCAAGCGTCCCCCAGGCTGGACGAGCTTGCCTGCTGTCCGGGGGCTGATGGCCTCCGCAGACACGACCTCAGGGCCACCCACGCCCACTGCACCTGGGTGAGCTCCCGAGGCCAATGGGAGGCTGTGTGGCCGCGCCGGGTGACCCCGGCAGGGACAACCTCCTGGCTCCTCGCAGGAGGGGCCTGGGTTGCTCTTCAAGGCCGGGCGAGTGAAGACACAGGCCCAGGGGCACGAGCCTGGGCTGCGACACTGGTGCGGGAGGGACTCAGGAGTCACGGGGGCTGCCGATGCTGGTGCGGGAGGGGCCCAGGGTCACGGGGGCTGTGACACTGGTGCGGGAGGGACTCAGGGTCACGGGGGCTGCCGACGCTGGTGCGGGAGGGACTCAGGGGTCACGGAGGCTGCCGACACTGGTGCGGGAGGGGCCCAGGGTCATGGGGGCTGTGACACTGGTGCAGGAGGGATTCAAGGTCACGGGGGCTGCCGACACTGGTGCGGGAGGGACTCAGGGTCACGGGGGCTGCCGACGCTGGTGCGGGAGGGACTCAGGGTCACGGGGGCTGCAACACTGGTGCGGGAGGGACTCAGGGGTCACGGGCTGCCGACGCTGGTGTGGGAGGGGCTCGGGGTCACGGGGGCTGCGACACTGGTGTGGGAGGGGCTCAGGGTCACGGGGGCTGCCGACGCTGGTGCGGGAGGGACTCAGGGTCACGGGGGCTGCCAACGCTGGTGCGGGAGGGACTCAGGAGTCATGGGGGCTGCCGACGCTGGTGCGGGAGGGGCTCGGGGTCACGGGGGCTGCGACACTGGTGCGGGAGGGACTCAGGGGTCACAGGGGCTGCCGACGCTGGTGTGGGAGGGGCTCGGGGTCACGGGGGCTGCGACACTGGTGCGGGAGGGGCTCAGGGTCACGGGGGCTGCCGACGCTGGTGCGGGAGGGACTCAGGGTCAAGGGGGCTGCCAACGCTGGTGTGGGAGGGACTCAGGGTCATGGGGGCTGCCGACGCTGCAGCCTGTCTCGGGGCACGGGGCCTGGGCCGCTCTGGGGCTACTTTGCTCCCGGGCAGGAGGCCGGAGGGCGCCCGCAGAGGGAGAGGCCGCGGCGGTGCGTCTGCACCGCGGGCTCCCAGCGCTCTGGCGTCGGGCTGGCTGCTTAGGGTATGCGTGGCGGGGAATAAGCACGCGGGGCTGCCAGCGCTTTCACCTTGGAGGAAGGACAAGGGACACGCGGGGCTCACTGCACGGCCATTGAGGAGCAGAGCGCTTTCGGGTCCCCACTCTGGGAGTCACGGGTTTGTGATCATGGGTGAGCTTTTTCCCTTTCCTGGGCCTAGATGCCTCTTCATAAATAAGAACACGTGTCATGGGTTCTTGGAAGGATTGTGCCTGGTATCTAAAAAATACTGAAAAAGGTCCTTCTGACACTAAAGATGTTTGGAAAGCTCCCAGCAGCATCTGCATTAAGCTTCTCCATCCAAACTGCTGAAACATCACCCCCAACTCCAGCCTCTCCAGCATGATCCACGTGCCCAGAAACCCTCCACGAGAGGAATCGGCCTTCTGTGGACGCAGGATGCTGGTGGTGAGAAGACAGGACGGCTCCATGCTGGGCTCACTGTGTCCCTTGTGGGCACCACACAACCCCTCTCCCGGCCTCCCTCCGTCCTGACCAGCAGGTCCCTGCTCTGGAGTCTGATGCCTGTGGTTCACAGACTGACCTCAGGGGTCACTTGGCCTGGGGATGCCGACTGCAGACAAAAGTGAACCGCCCTCTGCGGCCAGCAGCCCTGGACGCTGGACTTGGCAGTGGTGTGTCTCCAGCTCTGACAGCCCGACAGAAGGGTCTGTGTGGGACCCCCATCCCTCTCAAGGAAGGGGCCTGGGAGCCGGCAGAGGGCTGGGCCGGAGCCAGTCCTGGTTCTGCTCCTAGCTCCTGCTTCCTCTCTATTCTCCCACCTTCAGTGGCTCACGTGAGAAACAGCACGGGTAATGACAACCCCTGACGGCTGACATGAGCATTAAAGTGAGACAAGTGTGCCTAGTGAGCCACACGGTATCCTGAGAGGCTAGGGGCCTCTCTGACCTGAGTCCAGGAAGCATGAACCCATCTTTCCCTTGTTAACACTGCTACCTGCAACCAGGAGACTGAGGCCCAGGGTCACAGAGTCCACCGTGGGGGACAGGGCACTCAGGCCAGGGGGCAGACTCGAGGCGAGGACCCTGAGAGCCTCAGCCAGGGGTGGGCCTCCCAGCCCTGACTTCGGGCTCTGCCTGAGCCCGGCCATAGGCCGGGAGCCAGGCGCTCTTCCGCTCCCCTGGAGAGGATACAGCCCAAGCCTGCCTCCCAGCACGGCTCCACAGGGCCAGGGTGCCAGGCCCTCAGAGACGCAGAGCCCCTGCCCAGCAGGGCAGGCCCACGCCCTGGCCCTGCTCTCCTGGCATAGGGACTGGGGAGGCGATGTCCTCAGACACCGCGACATCTCCTGTAACTTCAGGACAACAGCACTCACTGTTCCTTCCAGACACTCCAGACGCACCCTGGAGGGGGCGGGGGGACGGGTCACCCTACCCCACAGGAGCAGCCTCCTCCGCGGGCTAGCCCCACGAGGACAAGGACACGGCCCCGGCCTGGCCACCCAAGGGCGGCTGTAGCCGAGTGCCCTCGCGGCCTCTGTCTGCTTTAACCCCCGCTAGGGAGGCCGTATGGGGCACCCGCCAAGGAATCCAATGAGAGACCAGGGTTCACAAGGCCTCCAGACAGACAGACACGAGATGGGGGCCTAGGACGGGCTCAGTCAGACTGGCCCGGCGGGTCGCGTGTAGCCCAGGCCACATCCCAGGTTCCTGGACGATGACCTCCTAATACACCTGGGAGGGTGTTCAGTAAGTGAACGGGCCGGGACTCCGCCAGGCTGACAGTGAGGCTAGAGTCTGTGGTGCCCCTGCGCTGTGAAACCACACGCTCGTCATCGCTGGCAAAGTGGCAGCAACCCGCCTCCTCTTCCTCTGGTCAGGCCTGTTCTCCCGCCCCCCTCCTGGGTGTGGCCTCCACGCCGGCCCTGCTGCGGGGAGGGTTACCTTCTCTGGATGTCCATCTCGTCGGGAGAGGGGCCATTCTGCACCTGACGCTGGCTGGAGGGGCCTGTGGGCAAGAGAAGCACAAGGGCACGGAGGTTAACGGGGCAGAGGACCCCAGGGCCTGCCCCACCTCCGCCTCCTGGTCCCCCAGGAGACAGTTTCACGGCTGGCTCTCAGCCTCGCAAAGCCCAGGCCCACCCCATCCTCTCATCGGCGCTCTGTCCCTTTCTCGTGGTTCTTCCCGTGGAGCCACTTCACAGGGTCCAAGCTCAGCCCTGCTCGTGCTGACCCCCCCTTCCTTCCCCTCAAATGGCACCTGCGGCTGCCACTCTGCTCTCAATCCCCTAACCTCAAACTCCAGTCCCCCCACTTCCCACAGAATGTTCTAACTTGGAATTGCCAACCCAGTGGGTCCATCTTATTCCGCCTTGTGAGCAGGGGAGCGGCCTTCCAGCAGGAAGAATCGGGGCGGGGATTTCAGCCCATGCCCCTTCCCGTGACGTGACGCCCTCCCGCCTGCGCCCAGGAGCCTGGAGGTGTGGTGAGGGCAGGTGATGGCGTGACTGTCGGTCGTAGGTCGTCACAGGACGACCGAACACTGTGGAGCCTTCTGGGCCGCACTCCTGCCCTCGACCCTGAAAGCAGGCCTGGAGCAGGCAAAGGCTGCCGCGTGTGCCTTGTGTCCAGACAGGGGCTGCTACTGTGTTACGTTTACAAGAAAATCAGGCTTTGGCTCCAATCTGAGAAAGAGCCGATTGTTTGTTCTCTTGGCCGGCTCAGGTGTCACCGGGGAACTGCAGACAGTCACGGCGGTGGGGGAGGGACCGGGGCAAGCTGGCCTCAAGCCTCGCTGCTGAGATGGGGAAGGGGCGTCATCTCCACCCCAGGATGAGCGGCCAGCAATGCTCAAGAGTGAGACAAAATCCATGATGGGCAGAAGGCCTGCCCCACAAGGTGCTTCAAGCAGGTGGGAGGTGAGCTGCGTGTCCCCTGGAGTGGGGCACGGCAGGACACAGGGTAACAGAATCTCCAAGCTGAAACAGGTCACCTGCTGCCCCACACCGGAGCCCTTGGTGCCTCCAGGCCACTCTCCCGGTGATGAGGCGTGACCTCCCGAGGGAGAGGGTTCCTTCTGACATGGAGGTCCCAACCTACCCACACCCACGAAGGCTGACTTCCACCCCTAGGGGTGATAATACGGCTGGAATCTTGTTCTGTTTTTCTATGCTTGACAGCCTGTTCTGTGCTGGAAGCTTGCTTCCATACTTGGCAACGCCCAGCCCTAGGCCCTGCTACGGGCTTCAGTCAAGTTTTCCGCGAGCCTTGTCCACTGCTTCCTGGCCCCTGTGTGGATGGTTCGGCTGCAAAAGAGGAGGGTCCAGGTGGGGGGCAGTGGGCCAGCTGCCTCATGGCAGGAACATTCCGCCCTGGGAGACGCTGCCCTGCTGGGCACCCACTGCCGCACTCGGTTGAGCAGGAGAGGAGATGCCTGCGGGCTCTTTGCAGAGTTGACTACACACACATACATATCTGGTGGCACACAGGAGGAGTGAAAGAAACACTAGTTTTCTTTCCCCGTCTTTAAACACCCTTTTCCTGCTCTATTTATTCAACATACAATAATTTTGCTCGTTTTAAAAACTGGTTTGTCAGTCAACATGTTCAGTATAGGTGTTGGAAAATTTCTTAAAGATTAAAGAAAAACAGTTCCCAATTAAAACAAACCTACGGTGAGGAGAGGTCTTCTTCTCTCCTATTCCCTGAGGCCCGGGCCTGAGGGCTCCTCCCTTCCTTGTTCTCAGGAAACCAGAGCCAGAATATGAGAACAGTGCTTTACCATGGCGTCAAGGCACTTTTCTTAATTTACATTTACTTTAATTCTCACAACCCCACCAGACAGTTCCCAGGAAGACCTGTAACAGGTGCGGGAGTGGCCCAGAAAAGGCTAAGCGACACAGCTGTCAGCAGCAGAACCTGCCTCAGACTACCTGGGAAACGCCACTCCTTCTTAAATTCAGCTGCAGCGCGTGTCGACTGAGACGGGCCTCAAGCATGAGACGTGGCCGGAAGGGCCCTGGGTGAGGGCTGCAGCCCTCGGACAGCGCCCGGGCTCTGCCTGGCATCCACGCCCACTCAGCCCGACGTTTGGGGATCAGGCCCGATACCTGCACTCCTGCCGATCCTGGATCTTCCCTCTCCTGGCTGAGCCCGTGCTCTGGAGCCCCTGCCTAGCTGGGCTGGGCCCCGCCACGCCAGAACCCTGGCTGGCGGCAAGCTGCTGTGGTTTGGGGCGTGCACCCCTCACTCTGCCTGCTGGCCTGGCTTGCCTCCCGATGCCCTCAGCTGGCCAGCCCGGTTCTCCTGGGTAGGGAGGGCTGAGCAGAGCCCCCGCTGCTCCTGGGGGCCTCTGGCATCTCACGGCGACACGACTGGGCCTTCAGACACTACGGAGCAGGGAACGATGACTCTGGTTGTGTAAGGCCTTCGTTCCTCTTGAGCACAGAACACGTAGGTTGGTTTTGAGCTGTGAGGGTCCTTCGCATTAGGATGCACAGGCCCTCTGTCTTGGGGGAGGGGTCTGTCCAGGGTCACACGGGGCGTGTCTCCGTCCTATGGGTCAGTTCCACTCGCTGGCCACATGCCCCGCGGCAGAGGCGCGACGATAGGGAGGAGGCACTGCCCTCCAGGAGGTCTAGGGCCCTTGGAACGCTCGGGCAGAGCCTGTCCACGGTGCTTCCTGAAGTCTCAGGGTGGGGGTGCTGGGTGGCTGTCACCACTCCCGTCTGTCCAGGGCCCCGTGTCACTTCCCTGTGGAGCGCTTAGAAGCCAAGGTGGAGGCCCGGGTGAGTCTCCCCCGCCCCAGAGCCGTCTCAGGCCAGCCGCGCCCCTGCCTCTGGGATCCAGGTGGGGACACTCACCCCGCCACCCCGTCTCCGCAGATCCCCACAGGGCTCACCCGCCTCTCCCTCCCTGCGTGGCTGCCTCAGCACCTCTCCCGGACCCTTGCCGCCATCAACCGAGGGGCCCTCAGCCTCCACCCTCTTCCCTTTCTCCATTTGTCTTCCACCTGACTCTGCAGACCTTGCGATCTCTGGAAGACACAAGCCTGACCCTTATGGGGTCTAGTTCAAACCCATCCCCATGGCCACTTCTCCTGGAGACACCCCCCAGTAGGCCTTTGGTACCCGCTCACTAAGCCCGCACCACCTGCTCTGCTCCCCTGCCCCGACTCTGTGGGCCCCTCAGTCCCCCCACCTTCCTCACTGCCAAGTCTTCAAGGCCCAGCTCCGCAGCTGCCTCCTCCAGGAAGCCTGCCGACATACGCCTGCCCCCCACCACTTGATTGCAAAGGCCGGTCTTACAAGGCCGCTTTCTAACTGTTAGCACCCTGACCGGACAGCAGGTCTCCTCTCCCTCCGAGACCCTATGCTCCCCGACGGCAGAGCCCGTGCCTCTTGCTCGGCACTCAAGGCCGGCTCAGGTCAGGCATCTGGCGTGCTCTACTGAACCGAGCTGGAAGGTCCCAGGGAGCGTGCACTTGTCAGGCCCAGGGGAAGGAACGGGGCTGAGCTCTGAGCTTCTCGGATGAAAGTCAGACCGACAGAGAGCTGATCCAAAGGAACACAGGGCTCCCCACAGCCGTGCCTGCTCGGAGAGGAGGCCGGCAGAGGTGCAGGGCCCGGGCTTACCACTCCCCGCAGGGAGTGGGTGCTGGCGGCTCTGAGGGGCGGGGGAACCTGCCCCAGGCCACGGGGCCCAGGGAGCTGGCCTCGGCGTCACACGCTGGCCACGTCTGGGAGCTCCAGACGGCCGTCACCCTCTGTCTCACCTCAAACGAGTCAAAGCCTGACTCGTGCTGCAGACACGTGACAGAGGAAAACATGCCGGGACAGGGACCAGCGTCGGGAGAAGCGGGGGCCCGTCTCCGGTGTCCTGTGGGTCCCGCCACGGCAGCAGGGCTCACACCTTGATGAGCCGAGGCAGCGGCGGCTGCAGCTGAGGGAGCCCGTCTGGTCTGCACACACAGCGGGGCCGGGGTGGGGGCGGGCGGGCGGGCTCGGCCTGCGTCCTGAGGACGCGGAGGAAGGCAGCGGACTTCTGGCCCTGAGGCCCACATTCCAGTTTCAGGTGGAAGGAGTGTCAGATGCCCACTCCTACAAGCTGCTGACCCAGACGAGGTCCTTTCACCCTTGGGGTCATGAGGTGCGGGAACACGGAAGAGAAATACAGCCGGAGGGGCGGGGGAGGTTGGCCAGTCTCGGGCCACCAGCCCACCCAGGAAGCGGCCACAGGGGGGAGCGGAGGTGCCAGAGGGGTGGGAGCTGATGGCTGAGGAGCCTAAGGCGCGTCTTGTGAGTGACCGAGGGTCCTGCCGCAGGCCAGACTGCAGGCGAGAGTGGGGCCGGAGGTCTGAGGTCAGAGATCAGACCTGGGGCAGGCCACGGCCTCAGCCCCTCTCCTGTGAGCAGGGTGAGCGACCCCCACCCTCCAGAGGGAGCAGGGCAGCTGGCAGGAGGGGTGAGAGCGCCTGGTATGGTGTCCCTGGCCTCCACCTGTGACTGAGACTCCAGGGTGAGATGCGGCCGCCCTCGGGGACACTGCCCTGGTTTAGCAGAAAGGCGCAGGGGTGGCAGACGGCTGAAAACCTGGGCACACAGGATCAGGCTTCCAGAAGAAGGGACAGAGGGGCAGATCCCCCGCCCCGCCCCAGCCTTGTTGAGAGGGGGCAGGGGACAGGCAGGGCAGAGGTCACGCTCTGTTGTGTAGGGGGTACAGCCCGGGCCCCTCATCCCCGAGCACACGGAAACACAACACGCGCCTGTATGTGCAGGACCTGGGCGCACACCCGTCCGCTTTCATCTCCAGGAACATAACTGTCCATTCTCCTCCTCGTTCCCAGCACTTAACTGTAGTTCTTGGCAACTGGTCAACACTCGACAAATATTTATTGAATAAACGAAAGACTGGGCCCCAGGCAAGCTGTCTCACGATCAACAACTACCAAGATTGAGTGGATGGCTCCTTCTAGAGCCCTCCCTCCGGCTAGAAAAGGGTCCTCGAGAC